GCTCTTCAGATCATTCATTGTCTAGTTTTGGATTATTTACCAGACGATGTTCAAAGATTGAGGGACAAAGGTGTCAAGTTTGATGCGCTCGATGCCAAAGTATATTTTGCTTTAGAAAACAATTTCATAACAAGCAGCAAACCACATTGCAGTTGTATTCTTATGAGCTTTTTTCGGCGGTAAACTTTCTTTATAAATGGAAAATCATTCATTTGGATATTAAACCTTCAAATCTTGTTTTAAATCATGCGGTAAGTCTCAACAAGCAATCGTTTTTCTTGAGATTGCTGCAGCTTTTTTTGCACGCAACTAGTCCAATTATCTCGTTGCTGTTGAATTTTTTTCAAATGGCGCAAACATCAAACAAAGCTAACAAGCCAAAATTTCTGTTGCCAGTTCTCTATTCGTGCTTTATGGGCATCCATTATTCTGACACTGTATCGTTTATTACATTCAAGGAAGGTCAGCTGAAACTTGCTGATTTTGGTAATGCTGTACACTGTGGCACAGTAGGCTCAACATCCTATCAGGTAATCTATACGAGAAGCTCATCTGATACAGCGAAATTCTAATATAGATATGACTTGATTGCTTTTTTTTACTTGTATACTCAATAAAAAAAACAAGAAGACGTCTAGACACTTTTGTGTATCTGTGGCCGTGCCACCTACTTTAGGAAGCACTGGATGCGGTAGAATAACTTGCGTTTGATGCATAACTGTGGTCGGCCTTACAAGTTAGAAGAAAAATCTGCAAATAAACTGATTCCCTCTTCTCAAGCCATTGCCAATTTGTCAAGACCTTTTCACAAATAATAAAATCAGCATCTTTCCAAAAAAAAAAAATACTGATGTGCTTTGACTGGAAAGTGCCACTCTCATGTTACTAATTACAGCATTATAATTACCTACTTAATTATCAATTATTATAATTGATATTCTGTTTAGGCAAAGAAATTGGCATAATATAGCTTTAACTGAAATCTCCTGATGTGCAAGGCGTTTAGAAAAATGGCGGTCCAGTGACACCTTTTGTGATGACCAAAATTCTACATAAGATATCTACTTCTAATCTAACCCGGTCAATTAGAATTGTTGCGCATCGACCAAAACGCATATCAATTTACACGCAGTCTTATATCATTTCCAAGTTAACTAATCTATCATTCCAGGTGACAAGATATTATCGCCCACCGGAGCTTCTTTTCGGAAGTACCGTATTAACTCCAGCCATAGGTCGTGAGAATTTCTTACAGTGCCGCTGTATTTCTAATTATGCAATCATATATATAATACACAAAATAAAAAATTAGCTTTCCTAAGAAAAAAGTTGAATTGTTCGAAAGTTCAAGAAATTATCGGTCAGATCTACAAGATCCTAACATCTTTACGCATTAAATTTCTTCCACCTAATCGTCATTGTTTTGACTCTGAAGTCACCAAGTGCTAAGGCTTCATTCAATGAGTTGTATTAATATGAAGAAGAGAAAATGGAAAAGTATAAGCGAAGAAACCAGTGATTTAGATGTTTGGTCTGCTGCATGCGTAACATATGATTTTATAACCGCTAGGCCGCTGTTCAAGGGTAGAAGTTCTGAGGATCAGGTATTAAAGGCTGAGATTGCTTACTAGCCAGGTCCCTTTTCTAACTTCAAGATTCAGGTTAAAATTATTGTCGATGTGTTTGGATATCCAAGTTACGAAGAAGTGAAAGCAATGCAATGTAGCAGACCGCGAGTTCATAGATGCTCAGCTAGAGGACTTGCTAAAGTAATTTTGGCATAACTGATTTCTAATCTTAGACTGCAGTTGAAATATCTAAGGAATAAGCTGTCTATTTTGTAAATGCTTATGCTTTTTATATTTGCAGTTTGTTGGTGCAGGGTTCAATGAGAAAGCTCTCGCGCTACTACAAGATGTGCTCGTGTACGATCCTGCAAAGCGAAAAACTGCTGCCC